AGCTGGGTAGTGAGCCCACAGGTAGGTTTCATATTACTCTCCATTCTTATCTGCATGCTTAAAATATTTTACAATAAAAATATAAATTTTAAAACACATACTATAAGATGATCAAATTTTGGTAGACGTGTATTTATGTGCATGTGTCTGTATACGTGGTTCTGGGCAAATTGCTTAAGGTTTCCTCATTTGCAAAACGAGGATAAAAGCAGCTACCCCACAGAATGTCATGAAGATGCACCAAATAATCCATGGGCAAAACTTAGCATTCCCCTACACACTGTAAACACTGAACACATGTTAGCTATTACTAATGGTCAGGAAAAAATATACACAATCTGGAAAGCACCAATGGTTAAATCTCGGGTGTTTGTTACTGCTGCTCTTCTTCTCCATTTTCTTTTTCTACGTAAAAAGAATCGTTTTTAATTTTAAATGCTACTGAGAACGGGAAATAATTTATCTAGTCATTAACAAATACTTCTCACTGAGGTCTCCCTCGAAGCCAGGTACTATGCTAGGTGCTGGGAGTACAAAGATAGACACAATAATCTCTGCTCTTGAGGAGCTCTCAAGGAGGTGTGGTAGGAATAAAAATTCGTAATTACACACATATATAGTAGTGTGAGGAGGTCTTGTGGACCAGCCAGCCCCGAACAACACAAGAATCTTTGGAAATAAGGTTTCATTCTGAGATGAGGAGGAGGAAGCCAGAAGCATATGCTGATATTCAGGACTACCTAAGTGTGTAATAGTCCTTGCATGGCCAAGAGCTAAACCACATTCAGCAAAAAAAGGCACAGAGTCTCCCAGTATAATCCTTTAATCTGGCACTACTCAAAGCATGGTCCATGGCCCAAACTGTTACTGTTTAGCAACCAGAAAAGTACAGAAGTTTCTAAGCATTTAGAAACTTTTGTACCTATTTGGCATTGCCACAACAGCTAACTAAGTGATCAGTGGAGAAGTAGAGAACAAAGGTAAGGCTTTGTAACAGATTGAAAATAAGAAAATAAAACAAAAACAGAAAAGAGAGAAAAAAAAAAAAGGACTGGTTCTTCACAGACAGTGTAAGAAGTATTGTTTTCAAACTCCTTGAGTAAGGATCCTTGGCTAGTGCCAAAAATGAGTTTGGAATGAAATGGAATGGCAGCGGCTGGTTTATAACTTAGCAGAGAAGCTCCAAATTCCAACGTCTCTTAAAGCTCTCCACAAACAAAACATCCAAGAGCTCTTCCTCGACTGTCATCCTTGAGAGTGTCTCAAGGAGCACCTGGGGCAAAGGGCCTCTGGATGTCCATAACCGGATGTGGGGGTAGGGGAGATGGCAAAGCCGAAAGATCTAGAAAACACCCCTCCTCGATTAATTCTACTTTGAGGCAGGAAACAGGCCAGCCAATGACTGCGGGAGAAAAAGGCTGGTGTGAAATGGCAGTGCTGAGGTAAGTCGGCAGTCCAAACACAACGGCCTCCCTTATGTAAGAAACCACAGCAGCGTGCAGCCTGCCAGAGTCAAATAATGTGCCTCTGTGTGCGAGGGACTGAGGGGGCTGCAGAGCCCAGGACGCACTTGGAGTTTATCTAAGCCATGTACACACGGTCTGTTAATGAGCATTTGGTTCCCAAAGTGGGCTCGGGGCTGATAAAAAACAGATGCGGGGCCAGCTGATCAAAGTGGCCTTGCTCCCCACTGCCCACTGCCTGGACCACTACCTCACCATGTCTCCTGAGCCCTCCTGGCACCCCCTTCTTTAACGCACATTTGCAACCTGAAAATGCCACACCCTTCCACTTGGCTTCTTTCAAGCTAATTAAATTTAAAAGTACAGGAAGCCGGAGGGTTTGGAGACAGGGAGAGAGAAAGGGGCCGAGGGCTGCTCTGTTTGTGGACTCACGCAGCCCAGCCTTCCGTAACTTCGGTCCCTAAAACATACAGACAGACTTGTGTAAATTCTTTAAGACCAGAGTTGCAAATGCTGCAGAGTTCAGAAAGGCAATGCAGCCACCAGGAAGATAGGCCCTCGGGATTCCCAAGTCAACCTTGGTCAATCATTCAGTAGAGGAGACTGAAGGGGTTGAGAAGGTAAAGTTGGGAAGAGATAGCTGGCTGGATGCCTCGATAAAACAATGTCGTGTGGCTGAGAAATGCCTCAGCCAAGAGGAGACATGGTCCATGGGATCTCCCAGTGCACAAGGACTCCTCATGAACAGGGAAGAGCGTCCCCCACCCTGTGAGAGTAGCGTATTTGAACCCAAAGCCAGTCAACCCAGTGGATGACAGCCTTCCGCTCTCGCCTCTGGGAAGAAAATGCAATATTTCTGTCACAGTTGCTGTATGAGGTATCGAAGAAGCGGAACACATTCATCCAGGTGGAGAAAAAAAAAAAAAAAAGACGGCATTTAAATTTACTCATTACAAATGTCTGGGGGTGCCTACTTTGTGTCAGGCTCCCTGTCACCCTGACGTTTACAGCACGGCGGAGCAGAGAGATGCGAAACAAGCAAGTAGACATGTGAGAAGAGTTACAGTAGACAGAGCAGTGTGACCTTGTCTACCAGGGGTCAAGGAAAGATTCCCAGAGGAAGTACTGATTGATTAATGGAAAAAATGGGGAGGAAAGTTTCAGAAAGAGTGACTTGCATGGTGGAGGGTCCTAAGTTCAGAGAAAGGGTGGTACATCTGTCAAACTAACCTAAGCCATTAAGGCTAGAGCTTAGAGAGCAAAGCAGAATCTTCCATGGGAGGCTTGAGGGGTAGGTGGGGTCATATCACATGGGGCTTTTTAGACCTTATTAAGGATTTGAGAATTTATCCCTAAAGACAATGGGCAGCCATGGCAGCATTCTAAGTGTGACATGTCATGCTCAGAGTTGTATTTAAAAAGATGAAAACTGGTCTCCTGACTCGTAAAGCCAAGGTACCCGGAATAAAGGAATAACCCATCTTGATCAGATCTCCCGAACTTGTAAAGAAGCTGGTATGGTGATGGCAGGTGTTTTGAGTTGCAAAGGTCACTGCGAGAAGCATGTCTTCTCTGACCTGCCACCACAGAGCAGCAAACTGAAAGCATGCCATCCTCACGCCAGGCACTCAGCAGTTTTGGTGGCCATCTCCAATCTCCAGGCCCTGAACCAGCCTGCGAAGCACTAAGCTCCCGCTGTCTTAGGGATGGGCACCTTAAGTTGGAAAACGGGGTCTCAATACCATCCTACATGTTAAGAGTGGGCAGTGGCCTCCCCAGGCCCACACACAGATCTCATCACATTCTAAATGCTCTAGGGAAAAGATCTTGTGCAAACTCTACCTCGGCAAAGTGTTTCAGCCTCTGGCAAGGATGGGGGTGGGGAATCAGCTTCCCTGGGCTGCTCCATCTGCCAAACTTAGAATAAAGAGTGTTTTCAGGGCCTGGAGTTTTCCAGCTGCCTGGAAACAGGAAGAGCCCAATCCCAGAGAACAGTAACCCTCACACACACCCTACATAAAGACATGTTGAGCCATTAGCCCTAATTGCCTGTGACTGACATAGGAGAGAAGCTGGCCTTCCAGGCATTTGCTCAGCGGAAAGAAAACAAACAGCTCACAGGGGACACAGGCAGCCATTTTCTCTCCTTTCTGCCAAAATGATTTTGCTCTGTTCCCCCCAGATTATAGCATACAGATTTGAAAGTATAAACCAAACAAAGGTCTTTCTAGCATCCTTCACCACATACAAAAGAGAACATAAACCTGTAGGGAAGAGCTGGACACAAGCAACTGGTTATTAATCTTTTCGCAAAATCAAGAACTTCACAAAAACTTTTCAGAGCCACCTCTCAATACCCAATCTCTCCAGGTTTGAGGTATTAGGAAGTACTTGCAATACTTTTCATTTATTCATCATACTTTATTAAGATATATGTCAGGTAGTGGGCCAAATGCTAAGGATGTGATATATATGTGGTAAAAATCATATTTGCCTTCAGATTTATAATTTTTGTTTTTAACAAGTGGGTTTTCTAAAGAGGCTTAAGAAGACATAGCATATTATCATCAAGCAAGAGACCGTGCATCCTTTCCTTTTCCTTTATGAATTACAAGGGCCCAGAGGACACACCCACATGCCACCACCACCACCATCAGCCAGACCAGTGACTGTGGTGATACAGTTTCCTTGGTACCAAACCGATAACCAGGATGGATTTCAGGACCACAATGACTGGTAGTTGCTGAGACAAGACTTCATTTCCCAGTTCAGAACCATTCCCTTCCTTTACGGTTCCTTCACAGTCGATTCAAAAATATCACTCACCAGGTGGAACACCCACCATGTTCCACCCTTCACTTCCTAGAGAGACATGCGTGATTATTAACTCCCCCTTACAGAGATGGTGAACCATCTGAGCAAAGTCACATAGGATCCAGTGGGGATTTGAAGCCAGATCTGTTTGTTTCCAGGGTCCATACTCTTAATCTATATTCACTATATAGCCAAACCTGAACTGCCCTTTGGCTTAATGTGGCCATCTTCTTATCATCCAAGGTCTTCACCATCAGATTTAACTCTGAACTAAAGGATGACTAGTAGTCCATGTTAACAACAGCCCCAGTATTGCGGGAGGAACATACAGTAATATTGAGAGCCTAATGTCCTCCACAGATCGTTAAGATAAAATTCAGGAGAGAAAAGCAGTTTTCTGAGCAGGATCTCAATGAACACCCTCCAAAGACGAAGGAAGGCAAAATGAGCTGCTTGTTCCATAAAAGTCACACTCTTCTAGTCAAGCTGTTCATTTCAAGTCATGGTATAAGGTAGCATTGATTCTGCCCCAGATGATTTAGAGTCTTTTAAAGATTTCTGTAGAACAAGCAGTTCTTCCACACCTCCCTCGCTCCTATGCATGGCAGCCTCCCCAGAGACTACAAGCCACTAGGTAATAAATAACCATTTTGTTTCTGTCCTGGTGAAGGAGCCTGAGATTTGAGAGGGGGGAGCGCTGCTGTGGGCCAGAAGGCTACTCACCCAGCAGGCAGAGCATCGAGGGCCTGGGCAGCCGCCGGGAGCTGCTGGGTGCCTGAGGTGCTGGGCTCCTCTCCTTCTGCCGGTGTGGCCGGAACGGGGAGAGACACTGCAGTGGGATTTGAGGTCACACTCGACACCGCAGCAGGCGACGATGTCACCCCAACAACAGAGGGCTCTTCAGGATCAGTGGCTGCGGTGGGCTCGTCATTCACTGAAAACAGAGAAATCGTATTTGAGAGATCCACTCAGACTCGTATTCACATTCACTAGATTTTTCCCTTAAAGTGGTAACACAGTACCTACAATGTTACCCTGCATGTATCTGGTGACAGCAAAAAGTTTTACAAAACGTTAACTTTGGAAATGACAGCAAGTCAGTAATGGCCTGCCCCTGGTCTCCTCCCACCCCCCGCCCAACAACTGGGAGATGGATCTGAAGTAAGTATATTAAATATTACCCCTTTTGTATACCTTTATTACATTTTTCTAAAGTATTCTGATTACATGTATTACAATAAAAGAAGAGCAGGAAGGAGGGTAACGGGGAGCTGTGTTAGTGCAAAAGGAAGCAAGGCCAAGGCCACATCTACAGGGTCCATACTTTTCTTTAAACTTGCCATATGTCCGCTGAGCACAAAGGGCAGCTTCCTATACTCTAAGAAGCAAAAAACTTCCAACAATGTGCCTGTTCTTTTAAAGACTCATCCTCAAAGCATGGAACAAAGATTGATACTATAGATGAAAAAGATGGGCGCCAAAGATGAGGGACTTGTCTTCCAGATAACAATAGACAAAGAGAAAGAAGTCAAATAAGTCTGTTCCAAGTCTCCTTATTTCTCCATTTCTTTATTATTTTGATGATCACTCATGTTCACAAGGACCCCAAGACAATGCAATATCCTCTCCCTCAAAAAGGGATCAAACAAGGTTTTCAAAGAATTCTTTGAAAATGGATAAGCCATATGCAGAGAATTTTCTACATACGTGATTGCATATGTGCACATTTATACTAGAATTCTGTAGGAAAACCCCTTAGATGTGAGTTAGCCTCATCTTCCTAATTCAGAAATTCTTTTTGCAGTTTCAAATGTAACAAATGTACTATCCAGATTCTTCTTAAATGCTTCTGACAAGGAACTTGCTACCATTCCATCGTTAAGCAGATGTCCTGCCAGCAAGTTTTTTCTTATGTGAAGCAGAAATTTCACTAGCTGGTCCTAGTGCCCAACCCCCCCGCAATACACAGTAAGTACCTGGCCACCCTGTTTCTCATTCACCTTCTCTTTTCTGGTAAGAAGGCGGGCTCTTTCTTTAATGTTTCTAGGCCCTTCCCTTCTTATCACCTGGCTGCTCGCTTCTAAGTATCTTCTACTGCCTCTCCTCAATTAGGACAGCAGGAACTGAACATAATAAATCAGACACCACCAGACCAGCAGAGTCAGATTTCCAGTATAAGTGGTATGAGTTAAGATGTACAGAACACCACTGTGTGCCAGGCAAAGTGCAAAGCAATTTGGATTGTCTCATGTAAGCCTCACACACAACCCCACACATTAGGTGCAACGAATATCCCATTTTACAGAAGTTGTGGAAACTGAGGCTCAAAGAGGTCAAATAACCTGCTGAGGTCGAGGGGCTCCTAATTCTCACCCCTACTGCCTGCCTCCAGAGCCTGAACTCCTCACTAACTGTGCTCTCCTTCTCCCTCCCTGCACATCCTTTAAAGCAACCCAAGATGGTAACAACTGAAGCAATGACAGGATCCTACCAGCTCACCCGAGACTGGGGGCCAGCTGAAACCAAAAGTTCTTTACATGATGGGATGCCACCTGCTCTTCAGAAATGGAAAAGAGCCTAGGTACAACCTGTGATCCACTCATTTGCTTTCTCCCCAGCGTATGAAACACTGTCTGGCACATCAACTAAATTAGTTGTTTAATAAGTGACTCCATCTTATGCAACTGGTGTTTCCCCCACACATATGCAAGACTTCATACTTCTCCTCCTATTCTAGCTCAGCCAAGTTGGTAAAACACAACAGATGGCAACTCTCTTTATGCAAAATTATATATTTTACCAATACAAAAAACCATCATGACATTTTTGAGAACTATGCAAGTTCACCCTAAAAGTTATAAGAAAAATTAGGGGCGCCTGGATGGCTCAAGAGGTTAAGCCTCCAACTCTTTTTTTTTTTTTTTTTTTAAGATTTTACTTATTTGCGAGAGAGACAATGAGAGACAGAGAGCATGAGAGGGGGGAGGGTCAGAGGGAGAAGCAGACTCCCCGC